TAGGGCCTAGGGTTTAGGGTTAGGGTTTATCGTAAGAACCCCTCAAAAGCGCAGTATAAGGAGATATTAGTACTAGCTTATTTCGATGGTACTACTAATACAGCTTAGCGTGTAGAGATTGGTGTAGGGAAACTCATGTGTGTTGGAGGCGCGACAAAATCTGGAGACACCCTTACAAAAAACCGCAAAAAAGAACTGAAGCTCCATATTGGGGTTCGGGGTTTAGGATTGAAGGCTGCCAAGCCCAGTACTCTACAACGAACATGAATAAAGCTCTACCCGACCCTTCAATAGGAGGATCCTTGATATCTACAACCCCTTGTCAACAAAAGTGTGTAGGCCTCCGACAAAATAGTGGCAAACCGCCACTATAACCCTAATCCCTAAACCCTAAACCCCAGCCCTAATCCCTAAACCCTGTCCGAGCGGCGCGGATGACATGAAGTGATTCTCGTCCAAGGAGCCCTTCGTCCCCCTCCTTAGATGGAGTCCACATGTTTTGGGCTTAGGGCTTGGGGTTTGCCCCCCCCCAACTACCCTCTATCATACCCTGAATACCCACTATTAAGGACCATAAGGGCTCTGTTAAGGGGCACTTGGGGGGTGCTGGTAGGGTTTGGGGTTTAGGGTTTAGGGAGGGCTCAGGGTCCGTAAAACCCCCTGACCCCCGGATCACAAACTCTGATCCCAAAGCCGTGGACTTGAAGGGGCTTAGACTTTAGGGTTTAGGGTTTAGAAGGATCACGCACTTTGTGAGCAGCGGCACGAAATGCGATATCACCTGGGTTCCCCAGTAGCCGCACGCACGAACGTATGCAGGCAACAAAGGCGCCCAGATGCAAAACCTGAAAGCCAGCATTTGTAGCCAAAGCAGTCCCACGTGCTATTTATTTAGTTCGATGATTATTTACGCAATTTTTCCTTCAGACAAATCGCTACGTTCCATGTAAAACCGAAAAGCCACCCAACAGAAAACGCTCTCAACCCCTGGTCAGCATGATCTTCGCCAAGGGACCAGGACCCGGGGCCCATGAATGGATTGTCGTCGAAGGAGCCCTTGCGGCTTTCTCTGCCTGTGGCAAACCTTGGACTCTAATATAGGGTCTAGGATTCCGTTAACAGGGTTCCTTAAAGGGTTCTATAAGGGCTACTATAAGGGTTTAGGGCAGATCGACGAGCATGTAAATAGATAACTAGCTGGGTAGATGTTGGGGGGCCAGGTTCGTTAACAAGGTGGTTCCTGCTTTTTCTGGCCACCAGGATCCCTTTTCTGAACCCTAAACCCTAAACCCTAAACCCCTAAACCCTAAACCCTAAACACACAATCATTCGGGATACAGAAAACGAAGGCTATGCTTGCGAACATAAGAGGCTCCTTGCTATACAAAACACCCATAGGGTTTAGGGTTTAGGGTTTAGGGAACACAAAAAGGGACTTCAAGAAGCCCTCTGAAACAAAGCCAAGAAGATTCTTATGATGCACTCATAGAGTCCTTATCATGCCAACCACAGTCACCTGAAAGCCTTTTATTCTAACACCCCCCGGGCCTAGCGTGCTTGTTGCTGTGGGGAGTGCCGGAGCTGGGGGACCCCGGGGGCGGGACTACGGGAGGTTCCTCCCGATGAGCATCCGCTCCTCTGCCCGCAGCAGCCGCTTGTGCGACAGTCCCATGGTTTGGCCGTTTGTGCCTCATTGCTCTGCCTCCTGCCCGGCTGCTTTCGATTGCTTCCTTGAGCTTTCTGAGGGCTGCGGGAGGGTTTGCGTTTCTTGGTTGTTCAGGTTTCTGGTTCTTGCCTTTTGGAGTCTTGTCCTGCGTAGCCGCTGTTCCGGCCGTTTCTCTTCTGGTTCTTGGCTGTTCTAGGCTCGCCACTTATCCCTGTCCGATGCGGCTTCTTGGCTACGTGACCGACGCCTCTGTTCGGCCTTTCGGACTGGTGATGGTTGTGGCCACTTGCCAGCGGACTTCTGCCTGTCCATCGACCTCTTACTCTTCGGCCGGCCTTGTTGGCGGGCCTTCTTGGCTATATTCTTTACCCTGGCGGCGGCTTTCTGACTCTTTTCGTCAGCCGTCTATCGCCAGGTTTCCGCCACTCTTCCTTCTGTCGTGTTAACGCGCTCCTGCGATGGCGAGCGGCGACGTGCCGGGCTGTTATTCCGTATTTGAACTCTGCGCACTCACTGGCGGCGGGCGATTACCTGGCCACCTGCCCGGCGCCTGCTGCCCAGCCTGCGTGATTGGCGGCCCGGGCTTGCACACTCTCCCTTTCTTGAACGGCCTGTCGCTTGCCTTTTCAGATTATCCTAGACCTGGCGGCGGTCCCGGCTCTGGATGCCCGCCGTCTATTGCCTGGTCTGGCCTCCCTCTCTCTGTCTACTTTACGCGCTCTGGCGTCCGCGCTAGCGGCGGCACTTGGCTCTTGCTGGGCCACTCCCTCTCCCGGGCCCTGGCACTTTCCCGGCCTCACGCCTACCGCCCTTCTGCCCGGCCCGGGCGGGTGGCGGCTCTGGCTACGTGCCTGCTGCCTTCTGCCTACCTGTTCGCTCTTTCCTCGCCCGGTTTGTCGCCTGTTGTTGGCTAATCTCCTTACCTGGCAGCAGCCTTCTTGACTAATCTCCTAACCAGGCAGCGGCTTTCCGGCCACTCATGCCGGCCGCCTGGGTGGGCAGTGGTCCTGGCTACGTGCCAGCCGCCTTCTGCCCTACCCTCGCAAACTCCTTGTTCCTCGATTTCCCTGCTATCTCTCCATAAGCTGGCGGCGGCCTTCCGGCGTGCCGGATGTCTTCTACCGGGCTACCCTAATGCCCATTCCCGTTACTCTTCCTTCCTGGGTTTTCGCGCTTTAGCGAGCACGGCCTTCCACACCACTGTTTGCTCCCTGGTGGCCGTTTCCTTGTCTGCTTGCCGCCTGGCTCGTGTGGGCAGCGGCTCTGGCCACTTGCTGGGCCGTCCTCCTCCTCTCTCTTCTTGGTCGGTTAGTTGCCTGGCCTTCTTGGCTCAGCGGTATTACCTGGCGGCCTTCCGGCAAGTCACGCCGGCCGTCAATAT